CCCAAGCACGATAGATTAACACAAAATTTAAGAAGTAGGGCTACTCCCATTGCAAATTGGTTTATCGGAGAACTTCGCCTTTCATCATACTCCACATCACTCAATTTGTGTTGTTCATATGTTAGGCTAGAAAATTTACCGCACGTGAAGGGACATGTGATAATGTGAGGATAAAGTCTGACATAGGTGAGAGACCAAATCATGCAAAAGCTTATAATAGGTTGAACCACTCTCTATATTGCCAATTAATTTTCTAGTGAAACCTAACTTTATTCAAAATATTAATGTGTTACAATATTCAATCAGTTAGACACAATAATTGGTGAAATAATTCCAGTCAATTTATTAATCAAAAGTTTTAAGAAGGTATATACAATAAACTAAGATGTGGCGAGTTGGAGATCCGACTATTTTAAATTTAGTAAATTAAAAAAAAAACACCTAGACAATTACAAGTTTTATAAAATTAAATTTAAAAAAAACAACATTTTGTTTTTATAGTTTTATTAATCAAAAGTTTGGCATTGTCTTAGGCTGGAAATGACTCTTCTAGTGTTACTTTTGCCCTCTAATTGACTAATTTTGATCCTCTTTGGCCTTTTCGTACCCAATGGTCTATTTGTTTAGACCGCATTCGAAAGATGACTTTCTATGCCCCTCACATATATCGCGAATGAAGTGTGGTTGCAGACAATTTTACTAATATGGGCTTGTCTTCTCCAACTTTGGTATGGCATGATTCCCCTCAAAATGACGGTTTGTGCTGCTTTGTTTTCAGACTATGTTGGTTTGCCTGGCTTCTGCTTCTCAATTAATGTCCATCTCGACATACATGTTTGTCTCACTTTCTTGTTTTTTTTCTTAACCTTGTGATGTTGCTTGTTTTGTTTTGTAGGTTTAGACCTTTAGGTTCGGCTTTAGAGGGGTTAAGTTTCATGTCCCCTCCTATTTTCCTTGTATCTTTGTTGTTTTTGTCTCAAGAAGGGTAAGGTTTATGTCAGCCCTTCTTTTCATGTATTTTTTTTATCATTTTTTCTTGTATTATGAGGGGTTAGGTTTATATCCCCCTTACTAGGTGTACCTTTTTTTTTTTTTTATCAATAAAATTTCCCTTGTATCATTGAGGTTTTCTTAAAAGAAAAAAACTATATACATAAACTAAGATGTGGCTACTTGGAGATCCAACTATTTTAAATTTAGTAAATTAAAAAAAACACCAAGACAACTACAAGTTTTATAAAAAAAAATTAAAAATTAAAAATTGATTTTGTAGTTTCTTTAATCATACATACATAAACTAATATGTGGCGACTTGGAGATCCGACTATTTTAAATTTAGTAAATGAAAAAAAAACACCTAGACAACTACAAGTTTTATATAAAATAAAAATAGAAACAACATTTCAATTTTGTAGTTTATTTAATCAAAAGTTTAAGAAGATACATATACATAAACTAAGATGAGACGACTTGGTGATCAGACTATTTTAAATTTAGTAAATTAAATAACACCTAGAGAACTACAAGTTTTATTTTAAAAAAAAAAAACAACGTTTTAATTTTAGTAAACTACAAGTTGCAGTATGAATAATTGTCAGTATTACATCACAATCTCTCTCGTTGTCACCGGCCGGTTGGCAAACTTTGCATTGCTTTATATCGATCAAAGACGTTCCTCCGGATGAAGGGATCGATCAAGTAAGCAACTAGCTACACTTAATTGGTTTGATTATGATACTAAATATAGGAGTGGTCCTAAATTTTCTTTCCCTTTAGAAATACAAAAATACAAGACACATAGTGTATGAGTTCAAATATTATAATTAGAATGAAGGAATACTAAAAAGACATATGAATCGCAATCCATAACAATGTTAATCTATTGGGTGTAGTCCATAGGCTACCTCCATCCATGTGTGATTATTAGGTCTCGAGAACCTTTTCTATTTAGTTGTTTTCTTTCGTCAATTTCCCGAGTATATTATCACGGCTCCCAACTGATCGTAAAGTACTGATGTAATGGAGTGAAATTTGAATCAAACTTGTGCAAAATCAACACCATAGTTACTGAGTAAATAAACATCTTTAATCGGATCAAAAATCTGGAGCAGCAAAGTAATGGCAAAATAGATAGCTCTCAACCCCTACATCCAAAACAAGCCTTCACCTAAAAACTGAAACGTGCAATCAATAGTAACACCAAGTGAAGATATTTTAGATATATTGAAAACTAAAATTATATGGCAAATGACAACCTTATGCAAACTGAAGAGATAAGTTGTTTGACGTCTCAATAAAGATGGAGTCATCTAAACCAACAAAATAATCATCTGGGAATAATTTTAGTTTTATTAGCTCTTATTCAACATATGTCATAGACTACGTTAGCAATGATTAGGACGTCGTATTAACCAGAAACACCGGCACGTATTGCCTCATTATTTTATGACAGCATTAATGCTCTCAAGAACGCCTTGACATTTTTTATAAGCAAACACACATATGGTTAGATATTCGAAGAGACGGGTCAATTCATTTTGTCACTTATTGTTATGTTTTAAGTCCTAACTACTTATTATTAAGTGTTGAGTTTTATTGTAAAAATCTCGGTGTAATTAAAAAGTGGAACCATACACTTACATATTGTACTTTATTTTCTCAATCTCTGATGTAAGACTTATATTCAACATGCCTTCTCATTTAGGACCACACACATATGGGCCACATGTGCAATCAATCCCACATCAGACATTAAGCATAGAAAGGTGTTACATTACACTCAGTAACTTGGGCACAACACGAACAATGTTATGAATAAACTCGATAACTCTGGCATGGCATAGACCCACAAGACCCACAATCAAACCCACTCAATACTATGTCAGATATTCATAGAGACGAGCTAATGGCCCACTCATAACTACAATGATACTGTATCAACTTAACCCTCTATTTCTAGGTGCTAAGTTTTATCACAGAAAACTTCAGTGTAATTAGAAGTGAAATCATGCACTTATATATTTTTTTAATTATCCGATGTGGGACTTGTATTCAAGATTATATATGTGTATAAAGTCTACTAGAAAATTCATGCACTAACAGGTCGCCAAATAATTAGTTTTAATTACTAGGGACGTCGTCGTCGTCGTCGAGTCATCCACGGTGGTTGCTGAACTAATACCTGTCTGTTCATACGGCATGTGAGTCTGTCTTTGAATAACCTCCGTCGTCATTCGTGGCTGGCGGATGGAAATATACTGGTTTCAGTGGCGGATGTATTGAGGGGCAAAGGGGGTTAGCTGACACCCCAAACTTCAGTGAACGTCCATGGATACCTTGGGTGTTGACTCTTCGAACTTCGGTGAATGTCCATGGATACCTTGAGTGCTGCCTTTTTGAAGATTAGAGTTGACTTTATACATGCCCTTCAACTGTTTGATAAAATGTCTGAAAAAAAAAAGTGAATGAAATGGTGATCTTAGTGAATAACAAAATATCATCATTCTTGGACAAACATATTAATGGGATGCAATGATATCAAACATTGTTAGTGTGTTCAAGATAAGTGTGTTTCTTTGTTAAGCATTCATATGGGAGCAGCCTTAGAACAAGTTAATTACCCTCGCAAATGAAGTATTAAAAGGTGTGTAGTATACATTTCCAAATGACTTTAGATCTGCTAAGATTCGATGAAATGGCGATATGTATGATATTTCTGGTAAAAAAAAAAATTGCATGCGCTATTCTTACTGACCCCTCTAATATTATTTCCTGGATCCACCACTAACTAGTTTGTTTTTGCTTTCTCCTCAACGTGAGTTTAATTTGGGCTTAATTGTACTTACTCGTGGCCTCATTTTTTTATCAATTAATTAGTTAGCAACTGTGAGATATACATTTAGGGTTAGCATTGACTTAATCTCCATGCTTAAGAGAATTGAATTGATGGTAATAACCTTTCGCCAGATGCCTGCTTATGCTCAAAACCGTAAACCAATATGGTAAACACGTTGACGTTGAGCCTTCTAAGCCATTCACACTGAGTAAACCAATATGGTAAACCACGTTAACTTGGGCCTCTCAAGCCAGCCATACTAAGTGATGCACCATGTGAAATATGTTTGTAGGGCTCAAAATGCCTTTTTTTTTTTTTTCTGAAAGCAAAAATGCCTTCTTTTACTCTGCAACAACTTCCAGTATCGTTTTGATTTCTGGTCTTCTTATGGGTTGGGTGTCATTTGCATCGAAAATCTTGCTCCCTGTAGTTTGGCCCAAGTTCGACTTTGGTCCTTCTAGTTTCTATCGTCATGTTGTAGTTTACTACTTGTTGCAATCTAAGGGGTGGTTTGGAAGTGAGGTGCTTAAAAAAAAAGCATTCATTAAAAAAAGCTGTGAGGGTTTTAAGTGTTTGGTAAACTGAAAAAAAAGGGCTTATTTTGAAAGCTGATGTGAGAATAAACTGAAATCAAAGGAAAAAGCTGAAGCTGCTATTTGCAGCTTTGGAAAACTGGTTTTTTTTCAAAGCACACGAAGCTACAGTGCTCCTTTAATGAAAAGACCCACTATCAGACTGCTTTTTTTTCCAAAAGCACTTTTACAAAAAAGTTTACTAAACACTCTGCTGATTTATTTCACAGCCGCTTATTCTCACAACAGCTTTTTTTCAAAGCACAGCAATACCAAACCAGCCCTAAGAACAATAGCTTAATTCAGTCAATTTTTTTTCGATAAACCGGTACATAATTCCCAAAACGATGTAAAAGCACCAACAGGATCCTCTCGGGATCATTTTGGTGAGAATAGTGGGGATCCGTGAATGGTGTTCATTTATCGCACATCGTGCGGTCATTTTTTGTCAAGTACGTTTTGTGTTTAATTTTAAATAAAAATATTTAAAATGATTTCCGACAACACGATGTACGATAAACAAGCACGATTCACAAATTCCCAGGATCCTCACGAAGAGGATCTGGATTCGTAATAGTAAACAACAATCAGCATTAACACAAAAGAAGAGATCTCAACCTTGTACATTATTCTGAGTTAATTACATGATACAGTTGTTTTGTTAACAAAAAATCTTCTTATGCACTTCTTGAGATTGTTATTGAGCAACATTTAAATTCCACTTATATCGGGCAATTCTATTATAAAATACATTGATCGACTTCAGCATATACAGAGAGAGGTAAAGGCAAAACCGAGGGAGACAGAACACTCAGGAAGCTCACTTCTCGTTTGGTGACTTTAGTTGTCTTCCGGGTAAGAGAAAGTCCGACGGTAGTAAAAGCAGACAATAACGCTGATGAATAGCAGACAGCAAGCAGAGCGCCCCTCAAAGACTGCATTCAGAGATTTTCATATGTTAGTATGCAGCACTAGGTTTAAACAGAAAACAACGGCTACAAGTATGGGCCGGATTATTTTTGAGCACCTTAGCCAGCATCAAAGCATTGTCATTTGCATACTGCAATGAACTCTCCGGGATGTTTTGGATGCCCTGAGCTAGCTCCCACGAAAGAGAAGTAAGGTTGTTACAGGCAAGTATATTTACCAAAAAGCAAAGCTGATTACGGCCCCTATGCTGGGTTTATCTGATGTTAGCTCGAGCTGAAGATCTCCAAACTGCAGTTGGCAACGACATTAATCCACAATTGAACATAGAATAAATGCCTCCCTTGTTACTTGCAACAAGTGCAGTAACATTGTCCACCTTCAGCATCCTGCTTTCCTTCTTTAGTTCATCAGTGACTGTCGATGTTGAACTTTCAGACAGAAGCTTTCCGGTTGTAATCATTACTTTTGCAATCTGAAAGGGTTCAACAGGATCCAAAAATACAGATAGCTTAGAGATGCATGAAACCTAGTTTTGCATTCTGAAGATAATATAATCGACAATTGCTCCATCAAAATCTTAAGTACTTGGATTTCCATAAAGAAAAAAAGGGAAACTAGTCTTTTCCGGCACAGCTAAATATACGTTTTGAACATCCATATAAATATCTTTTAAAAGGAAAATGGCATGTCATAACTCAGATTAGGAAAATGGCATGTCATAACTCTTAGCCCGTGGCTCTTGATAACCAAGGGAACGATTAAATTCGAGTAATTAGAATAGAGAGAGTAATTTTATGTAAGAAATTTTCAAAAATGTTTAGTAAACTATAGTTAATCAGTTTCCAGCCCAAGAAAAGGGTACATCTAATTATTTACCAAAGCATTGACCTAATCAACATATGGAATTTAGTTTTTTCAACCGGCATTCCTCAAGCATATCTACATCAGTGCTGTGATATGCAGATTTTACCCCAAAGATCACACCACCATTTCTGTTACTGCTGCAAGGAGCACAATGGGATACATAGCTTTGGGATGTTGTTATTGGAAATGAGAGGAGGCAAAAAGAACTTGAATGCATGCTCATGCAGAAAATACAAGCCAAATATATGTACTTCCCTTTTGGATTTATGATCAACTAGAAAAAGGATTGAGCATTGAAATTGAGAATGCCTGTGAAAATGATAAGAAAGTAGCAAAGAAGATGATCATGGTTGCACTGTGGTGCGTACAATTGAAGCCGGCAGATCGCCCTTCTATGAGAAAAGTTGTGGAGATGCTTGAAGGTGATGTTAAAGAGCAAACCTGTCAGAGGAATATTGCACATGGTTTCAACCCATGCCTTGACAGCTAAACTGCCCACGTGGGCTGTGCATCTGTGTTTGTGCTTTATGGGCAGTTTCTGCACTATGGGCAGAGAGGACTCCACCTTCATTTATACTTAGTTTAATGCATGCGTGTACGTATCCAATGTATAAAGCAATGCTGCCATTGCAGCAGTATGGACATACAGAAATATCAAACTCAACATGGTATCAGAGCGCAGGTAATCCTTTGCTCTGCTCTGCCTTCACTCTTTCGCTGCTATACTGTGAACAGCGACATCTGCTACTGCAGCAACCAGTGCACTGCAAGCTGCACACTCGCTGCCTTGCCGTCGCTGCTCTACCTGTCACAGCCATTAAGCACAGCCGTAGAGCACAGCTAAGCACAGCCACTGCACACTGTCTGTGAACATGGCAACTGACTCTTCCAGCAAACACACCAAATACGAAGATCCCAGCGATCCTCTTTATCTTCATCACTCCGATCAGCCTGGAGCGATTCTCGTCACACAACCATTGAATGACGAAAATTACTCCACTTGGAGCCGAGCCATGACCATGGCCCTCAATGCCAAGAACAAGGAAGGATTCATCAATGGAACCATTCAAAGGCCTGAGTCGACGTCCACAATTGAATACCAACAGTGGACTCGTTGCAACAACCTCGTGAAATCTTGGCTGCTCAACTCTGTCTCAAAAGATATTGGTGCAAGTGTCATCTACAACAATGTTGCAGCTGATATTTGGAATGAGTTGAAGGAACGCTTCTCTCACACAAACAGTGTCCATCTCTTCCATATCGAACAAGAGATACATGGAAGTGTTCAAGGAAATTTGAACATTGGTGCATATTATACCAAACTGAAAAGTTTTTGGGATGAACGTGATGCCTTGTGCGCTCTCCCAACCTGTGCATGTGGAGCTGCGAAAGAATTGATGCAGTTTCAACAAAGTCAGAAAACCATGAAGTTTCTCATGGGTCTCAATGAATCCTACGCTGCAGTTCGTGGGCAACTCTTACTTATGGATCCTCTCCCTGCTGTCAACAAAGCTTTCTCACTCATTATTCAAGATGAGAAACAGAGAGCAGTCTCCATACATGCTCCTGGAAGGTCTTCAATCACTGATGCCGCAGCTTTCGCCGTGCGGGACAACATGCGAAACTCTGGTAGGAATTTTTCTCCTAGAAATTCCCATTTAAAATGTGGCCGTTGTGATGCAACCGGACATACTTCAGAAACCTGTCGTGCACACCTCAAGTGCGACTACTGTAATTGGAGAGGTCACACCATAGACCAATGCCGCAAATTGAAAAAGGCAAAGGACAACAACGATAAGGGAGATTATCAAGATCGCAGGGGTTCCAACTCGCAGGGGTTCAACTCCAAGGCTAATCACGTTGACATCAAACCAACGCCTCCAGCAACATCTCCTTCATCCTACAGCCTCACTCCCGAGCAATACCACAACCTGCTTGCACTCCTTGATAAGAGCCAATCTAAATCCACATCTAACCATGTCGGTACCACCTCTACTATGAATGATTTATCAGGTAGAGTTCTTTGTGCTTCTCCTCTCAATAAGGGAAGGAACTGGATTTTCGATACTGGCGCCACAGACCACATGGTTTGCTCACCAAGTTTGATGACCACAAGCGTTCCGGTATACAGTCGACAAGTGCACCTACCCAATCATGCACTTGCCGATATCACACATATTGGCACAGTTCGTCTCTCGAACGATCTCGTCCTTTACAACGTGCTTTGTGTTCCATCATTTAAACTGAATTTAATTTCTGTCAGCAAAATCACTAATACCTCATCTTGCTTTGTCATCTTCACTGATAAAAAGTGTCTACTTCAGGGCCAACGCTCGGGGAAGATGATTGGGACGGGAACTGAACAAGGAGGCCTCTACTACCTTGATAATGTGACAAAAAACCAGGTGCAATTCAGTGTCAGTTGTTACTCTTTCTGCTTCTCAGCTTTGGCATCAACGCCTTGGCCATCTTTCCAACAAAACCTTACGGGCTATCTCTCCTTGCATTAAAAATTTGAATTTTTGTAGCATTGATGATTGTTTGATCTGCCCCTTAGCCAAACAAACACGTGCTCCTTTTCCTTTGAGTTCTATTAATACAAAAGCTCCTTTTGAATTAATTCATGTTGACATTTGGGGAGGTTACCATGTTCCCACTATCACAGGGGCACAATATTTCTTGACCATTGTAGATGATTTCACACGATGCACATGGGTTTATTTAATGAATCACAAATCAGATGCACGATCATATCTCATCACATTCATCCACCTTGTTGAAACACAATTTTCCACACGAGTTAAGGTTCTTCGTAGTGATAATGGTCCAGAATTTTTTATGACCCATTTTTTTTCATCTAAAGGCATTCTACATCAAACAAGTTGTGTCTCTACTCCCCAACAAAACGGGGTAGCAGAGCGTAAACACCGCCACTTACTTAACGTTGCTAGAGCCTTGCTTTTTCAATCTCATCTTCCCAAGAAATTTTGGGGTAATGCAATCCTAACTGCCACTTATCTCATTAATAGGACTCCCACTCCTCTTCTTCACGGAAAATCACCCTATGAAATCCTTCATCACAAACAGCCAACATATGCACATTTGCGAGTGTTTGGTTGTTTATGTTTCTCTTCCACACACCACCATAGACCAACCAAATTTGATGCAAGAGCCACACGTTGTATTTTTCTTGGCTATCCATACGGCACAAAAGGATATCGAGTTTACGACCTTCAAACGGGTAAAATTTTTATTTCCCGTGATGTTATTTTTCATGAAAATGTGTTCCCTTTTTCTTCTTCCGTTGCCATCTCACCTGTTGTGTTTCCATATACTCAAGATATTGACTGTGATGACACCATCATTCATCCGTCCCTTCCACTAGAACAAGATTCAGTAGCCCAATCCTCTTCAGTCGACCAATCCCCTTCACCACCTCGTCTTAAACGCCTCACTCATGCACCTGGTTATCTTCAACAATATCACGTTGGCATCAACCTTCCTTCTCGGTCCGTCCCTTCATCTCACTCGGCATTGACCACAGTGGTAGGTACTTCTTATCCTTTGTCTGATGTACTCACATATGATCGCTTATCTGCTCGCCATCGTGCTTTCACCACTTCCATTTCAGCTGCCATAGAACCCAGTTCATTCTCACAGGCCGTACGCGACCCCCAATGGCGTTTAGCCATGGAAGAAGAACTGGCAGCCCTTGCTACAAATAGGACATGGTCTCTTCAACCATTGCCCCCTGGAAAGCAGCCGGTTGGATGTAAGTGGGTCTACAAAATCAAATTTCGTTCTGATGGATCAGTTGAGCGGTATAAAGCACGCTTGGTTGCCAAAGGTTATAGCCAAATTGAAGGCTTAGACTATCGTGAGACTTTTGCTCCGGTTGCAAAACTGACTACAGTCCGCCTACTTCTTGCCGTTGCCTCAGTCCAACAATGGCACCTTCACCAACTTGATGTTCACAATGCCTTCCTTCATGGTGACCTTGAAGAAGATGTCTACATGTCCTTGCCCCCTGGTTTCGGACGAAAGGGGGAAACACGAGTTTGTAAACTTCATAAATCTTTGTATGGGCTTAAGCAAGCCTCTCGTCAATGGTTTATCAAACTCTCTTGTGCTCTGAGCAAAGCTGGTTATCAACAATCCAAGGCAGACTATTCATTGTTCGTCCGAAACCATGATGGTAAATTCACTGCTCTCCTTGTATATGTTGACGATATTATCCTGGCAGGAAAATAACATACAAGCAATTGAGGATATCAAGTCTTTCCTTACGAAGCAATTCAAGTTGAAAGACCTTGGCCAACTAAAATATTTTTTGGGCATCGAAATTGCTCGCTCTAGTAAGGGGATCACTCTCTCACAGCGAAAATATGCCCTTGAAATACTTGAGGATGCAGGTTACCTTGGTGCAAAAATAGCCACCTCTCTTATGGAGCAAAACTTATCACTCAGAAAGGACGAAGGACAATGCATCACTGATCCTTCTTCTTATCGACGGCTTATTGGGAGACTAATCTACCTGACAATCACGCGCCCTGATTTGGTCTATGCTGTCCACATTCTTAGTCAATTTATGGAGAAGCCTCGAACTCCACACTTGGAGGCAGCCCACCGAGTCTTACGATACATTAAGCATACACCAGGGCAAGGTATCTTTCTCTCTGCAAGAAGTCCAATCCAACTGAATGCCTTTTGTGATGCAGATTGGGCCAGATGTCGTGACACACGACGTTCTACCACCGGATATTGTGTATTCCTTGGAGAATCCTTAATCTCCTGGAAAAGCAAGAAACAAAAACACTGTGTCACGTTCTAGTGCGGAGGCGGAGTATCGCTCAATGGCAGCATCTTGTTGTGAAGTCACTTGGCTGAAATATGTTTTACAAGACTTGGGTATCAAACATAAACATCCAGTCAAGTTGTATTGCGATAATCAAGCAGCACTTCACATCGCTTCGAATCCGGTCTTTCACGAAAGAACCAAACACATAGAAATTGACTGCCACCTTGTACGAGAAAGGATTCAAAGTGGTATGATCAGGACGTCTCATATTTCAACCATGAAGCAACCAGCTGACATCTTCACAAAGCCACTGAGCTTACATCAGTTTACGACTTTGCTCCACAAGTTAGGAATAATCAACATCCATTCCAACTTGAGGGGGAATGTTAAAGAGCAAACCTGTCAGAGGAATATTGCACATGGTTTCAACCCATGCCTTGACAGCTAAACTGCCCACGTGGGCTGTGCATCTGTGTTTGTGCTTTATGGGCAGTTTCTGCACTATGGGCAGAGAGGACTCCACCTTCATTTATACTTAGTTTAATGCATGCGTGTACGTATCCAATGTATAAAGCAATGCTGCCATTGCAGCAGTATGGACATACAGAAATATCAAACTCAACAGGTGAAGTCGAAGACTTGCAAATGCCACCGAAACCTTTCTTCTGTCCCCAAGATATGCCGATGGAGGATCCACCTGATGAGACGGATGTCGAAGAGACATGTAGGCTTACAGATACTGCTATAGAAACGGCTTCCATGGTGCAAGTAAAATGGAGTCCCATATAAGTCTTGTAGTAATATCCCTACATCTTTGGAAAAACTAGAGATTAGTCATATAAAGCTTCAATTTTACTGTTTGAAAATTTCTATCAGATCAGCCATTAAAAATTTTGGTAGTTTCGAGAGCAGGGTTTCTTTTAGGCAAGGGAAATGTCTATTACTCGGAAATTTGGAACGAGTTGAAACGGATTTTGAATCACTTATTTTATGCTAAATTTTTTATAGATACGTAATC